GTCAACGCATTTTTCTGAATGCAGACGCACTCAATGAGTTCTTTGGAGTACAACTTGACTCCCAAGACCCGGAAGCCAACAACCTCATTGCTCTTGACTCAGTGGAAGTCTCCACTGAAGGATTTGTTCAGACATACTGTCGTCCGGAGGCTGCCGGACTGGACAAGCTGTACATAAAGAAATTCCTGCTAAAGAAGGACTTTGAGAAGCTTGTCAGCATTTTGCACCGATGCTTGTGGTGCAAAATTGCTTCAACAGATGAGATGAACAAAAACAATGCAAAGGCAATCTTTGCAGTTCACCATGGCATGAACATCAATTGGGGCGAGGTAATTTTTGGCTCCCTAACTGAGTTCATCAAGAAGAAAGACTCTGAAACAGGTCTTTTCTCAACCAAGATGGGACATGGGCTTCTCATCTCTGCCATTCTTGCTGCCAAAGGAGTTCAACTCAGGGATCCCATCCCAGTTGATCACTCCAAGACAATCTTCCTCACAGCCTCCCCAAAGTTCAACATAGCCATCTCCTCTGAGCTTAAAAGAGAGGAAAGGCTGGAGAAGAAAAGGGAAGAACAGGCTGCTAAGGCCAAACCTGTTCCTAAGAAAGCTACCAAAAAGCCCAAACAACCTGAGCAGTCACAGGTTGTAAGGGAAGTCAGACAGAAGAAGAAAAGTGACAATCTATCACTACCAGAGAAGGAAGCAACAGAAGAGGTTGCACCAGAGTTGCCCTCCCCAAAGGCAACCAGGAAATCTCCTGCCAGAAAACAGAGCAGAAGAGAAGAAGAAGGATGGTTGTGCAGAGTGGTGACTCTGACAACTCAAGCACTCAACCAAGGCAGAAGAAGAGGAAGACTAAAGTAATCTCACCTGCCAAGGAATCAGCAGTTCAGGGGGAACCTGCACCAGAATCTGGGACTCTACCAGAGGCTGACCCAGAATCTGCACCAGAGTTGCCAAACTCTGCTCTCTCACCAGAGCGTGAAGCCACACCAGAGATGGACCAAGAAACTGACTTCAGAATCATTCTGCAGAAGCAGTTTGATAGAGTCCTAGCTTGGAGAAGATGGAGAATGGGACCTCTCCAACAAATCATTCAGTACTTTGATGCCTATGAAGAAGAAGAAGCTGCTGTTCTTCACTGGGTAGGCACATATGATGTGTCAAAATGCTTCAACCTTACCTTCCTGATATCTGTCCTACAAAAGAAGAAAGACATATATCAAGGTAAAGTTCCAACATCTGACCTATCTCCAGAAAGGCATGTCAAAGCCTTGGAAGAAGAAGTGGAAGAGTTCGATGCTTGGCTGATGGAGAAGAAAAGAAAAGAATCCATGATCAAATTTCGTCATAGTGCTCTTGAGGAAGGAGAACCCTCCACAGCTAATGACATTGCCCTTACCATGGAGAAGCTAATCAAGGAATGGAGAGAATACATGTTCTCTGAGATTGTGCTTGAGGTAATTCCTTCACCTCCTCCCCCTCCCAAATCTCCCATTTCTCAACCTTCACCTTCCAAATCTCCATCTAAACCTTCATCCCCACCTCACCAGAAAACCCCCTCACCTCAACAGAAAACCCACTCACCAAACCAGAAAACCTCAACCTCCACCAGAACTCCTTCTCACCAGAAACCCAACTCCAGACCCACTTCACCCTGCAAACAACCCTCTTATACCAGAAATCGATCACCTTCACCTCCACCATCTCCCTCACACCAATCTACTCCTCAACCCATAATCCTTTTTCCCCAGAACTCACCTCCTCAGAAATCCTCACCACCATCCAAATCTGCCTCACCTCAGAGATCCTCACATCACTCAGCAGCCTCCACACCAAAGAAGAAACCTATCTTCGGGGTCCCCTCTTCTTCTAGTGACAATGATGGATTTCTCACCTCCTCCATTGCTGCTGATGAAACCTCCAAAAGGAGAAGGACACCTCCCAGAGTTCCTTCCCCTCCACCATCCAACAGAGCTCCTCCATTACCCAAAGGCAGAGGTTTGGAGATGCCTGGATTTACTTCAGAGGAACCCCAGATCCCCTTCAGCCAGTTTGTGAAATCTGCTGAAGCATTTGGTGGTATATTGGTTCATGATCTGAGCAAGATCATTGAATTGAATGACAAGCAACATGAAGAGCTTACCCATACCAACCTGCAAATTACTATAGGGTTTCAACATCTGACAGACAAAGTTGTTGCACTGACAGAAAATCTGCACAACTTCATGCATTCTTCTACTTTAAGGATTGATTCTGTTTCCAGAGATGTTAGTGGCCTCAACTCTGTTCTCCACTCTCACTCTCAAGCTCTGCTTGCCCAGAACCAGACAATCAACAAGATCTCAGATTCTGTTCACAATCTCCAAAAATCTGCTGATAGTTCCTCCCAGAAGCTCAATATCTTACACTCTCTCTGCAAGGAACATCAAGAGCAAGGCCTGGCTCTCCTCAAGTCTGACAAGGAAAGGTACCAGAAGATGGTGCTCCTAGAAGTCAGCACTAGGGATCTTCAATCTGCAGTAGACAAGCAACAGAGTCTGATTGAAGGACTTGCCTCTGTCTCTGCCAGAGACCCTTGATGAAATCAGAGATGCACAAGCCTCTGAGTTCTCAAAGATTGAACTTCTCCTTGGTGATCTTTGTGATGCCAAAAAGGGGGAAGATACCAGAGAAGAAGAAGGACCCAGCACCAGAGCCCTTTCTATCAGAGATCCTTCCTCGGTTGATCCTACTCCATATTTTGATGCTACCAGGAAGAAAAGGCTAGCTGCTGCAGGCACCAGACCTCCACCTCCTCCTCCAAGAAGCTCAAAGAAAAAGACTTCATCCTTTTCACTCAATGATTGGATGAAGAGTGGGATGTCAAGGCCAGACAGAGTCCAATTTGAACAGATGAGGAAACTGATGACTCCTCTTCAAAGAGAGAATCTGTTCATGGACAGTGATGGACTTGTCCAGATCAACCATGGTGGTTCAATCCAAGAAGCTGAGATGTGCTATGGTATGAAGATTCTCAATGGCAAGAATTCTGCAGAAGCTGTCAGAAACTACTTGGACTGCAAACTTGCACCCCATTGGGCTGATTATCAGAATCCGAGGGATCTAGCCTCAATCAGAGCAAAGGTTAATGCTGAACTAGAGATGATTGACAGAGCAGGACCACAGGTAGATGAAGAAGATCTCTAACTCTCTATCTCTGACTCTGTAATGCTTTACTTTCTCTATCAGATTAATAAGATACCAACTCTGCCTCTCTTTTTGCTTGGCTTATTCATATATCTGTTCTTATTTACTTTCTTGTTTATATTCTGTTATCATATTTGATTTTATTGCTATCTGATTGTATCGTACTCTTACTATTCTCCTATGCTACGTTGCCCACCAAGACTCTAATGAAAAGTTTTAAACTTTATTTTCTTTTATGGTGAAAGGCACTTCTCTGGAAATAGTTAAAGGGTTTTGGCATCATCAAAAAGGGGGAAATTGTAAGGAATAAATGTATTTAGATTTTGATGATGCTAGGTTAATTAGAATTTGAAAGTACCCCGTTAGAAATTGTGTATTAGAATTTATTTTGTAAGTTTTAGCTTAGTCTGTCTGCCAGAGTTCCATCTTGCCTCTACCAGAGTTGCTCCCAGAGTTGCTCACCAGAGAAGCCATCAGAAACTGGTCATCAGAAAGATACCAGAGTTGGCAACAGAGACGGACTTCAGAGATTAGACCAGAGAACCTCTTTAGACTCTGCTAAATCCACCAGATTCCGGAAGTCTTTCCAACGGTCGTTAAACTAACGGGAAATCCCCTAACGGTTACGAACCTTTCAACGGAAACATGGCACTGTACACGCATTAAATGCACATTTAATGTTGTACGTACGAAGAGATATTTAAAGCTGATGATTGACCATGCGAGTATCTTTACGCCCCCAAAATAGCAAGTGAAAGGTCCAACCGGTCAAGTCAACAGTACATGCAATTAATGAAGCTGTCTTCTACACTCCAACGGGAAGACTGCTCCCAGTATATAAGATACACTCTGAAGAACTAAGAGGATAAATTTGCGTAAAAACAACCTTCTCGAGATTAAAACTTCATTCTTAGACAAGAAAAGGCTCCAGTTGGAAGATATACTTTCCTATCCTTCATCCAACTAGAAAACTGCAAAGTTACTCAGTTCTTCAACACTTCGAAAGCTTCATATACTCATCCTTTGTGAAGAAGCAACGTTGGAGAAAACTGATTTTATATCAAACACTTCTTGAAAAAGAAGGGACGTCTCAAACTAGCTGGAGTAAGTGAAGTGGGGATACTTCAAGAGACTCAGTGAAACGAGACCAGCCATCAGGAAGCAAGACTGCATCCCGGGTGGCAACTAGACTTGAAGAAGACGAGGAGTGCTTCTTAAGATCTAAGAACTAAGGCGTTGTAAACTGTTGTTTTTGCAAGCTTAGTGGAACAGTGGATTAAAGGAACAAGTTGTTCCTTGAACCACTATAAAAACCCCGGTGTCATTTACTTTAAGCTTTTAATTCCTGCACTTAAGATTCTACTGACTAACTCTTAAGGTTGGACTCTGTGTCCAGCAGATCTTCCTTCAGAGTTATCAGAAAGGCATTTTGCCTTAGCTTTCTTCTAGAGGCTACCCGGACAGAAACTTATCCGCTGCCTGGTCTAGTTCTGCCATCAGAACTTGACCATCTCTGTCACCAGATTTCGACCATCTCTGATAAGTCAGACTTGACTTAGAGAAAAGTTTAAATTCCTGAACAGTCTATTCACCCCCCCCCCCCTAGACTGTTCCCATTACAAATGGAACCAAAAGCAGTGAGTTGGTACTTTACAGATCTGCAAGTGGGTCTCTAGGATCAACTATGGCTGTGAGAGCTAGGGAAAAAGTCCCGCCCAGTAAGTTTCCATCTCCACTATTACACTATACTACTTATAATATTGTGTAAATTAGTTATAATATAATTAATTCAATAATTTGTAGATGAATGGTGGCTTTCATATGGGTCTGATGTGCCAAATCTCCAAATGTTTGCACTCAAGGTTTTGAGTCAAACTTGTAGCGCCTCACCATGTGAGCGTAATTGGAGTGCCTTTGATCATGTGAGTCATTTAGTATAGTAGTATTGATTATTGAATATACTTGACTTATTTCATTCAGGGCATATTATACTTGATCATGTGACTTTTCCAACATGTATTTCATTGCATTTTTTTCAATGTTAGACTTACACTTACTGAGTAACCCCTCCTGCATTTAATTCATCTGTTAGACATACAGTGCACAAGTATTAACTTATGCATCTAGTTATCAACATGAGACAGTAAGGTATTATGTTTAATGTGTTGTTTCATGTGTAACATTTTAGATACATTCAAAGAAGAGAAACCGTTTGCTGCAATCAAAGTTAAATGATCTTGTCTACATCCAGTACAACAAAAAGCTGCAGCAACGGTTCTTTGAGAGAAAGCACAATGTTGGCAGTAAGAGTTATGATTCTATATTCTTAAGGGAAGTTGATGAAAATGATGATTGGGTTGTTCCAGATGATGAAGCACTTCAAGACCTTGTCAATCAAGGTGATGATCTGACTTGGGAACAAGTACGAGCAGCACAACAAGCAACTGAGGCACGGACAAACACAAGGAGTCAAAACAGAAGGGGGAATGTGAATGCATCACAGTCTGCGTATAGACTGCTTGATATTGATATAGATGACCCGGAAGTGGAAGAGGAAGAACAAGTGGGGAATCTGACTACGGAAGATCTATTTGGAGAAGATCTATTTGGGGACATGGAGGATGAAGACGAAAATCACGACCTTGAACCCAATGAAGATTAATATCAGACCAACTTATTAGATGATTGACTGTTTTATCACTTTTGCTTTATGACATTTGCTACTCCATCATTAGGATAATAGGATTTCTATCCTTTTATTCACTTCTATGCATTTTAAGACAATTTAAAGACAATTTTATTACTATATTTTAAGACTACTATATTTAAATATATTATTATATTTAATTAATACTAAGCCGAGTAATCACCGAGTAATCCCGAGTAATCGGTCCTACTCGCTACTCGGCCCTTGACCGAGTTGCTACCGAGTAGCGAGTAAACTACTTAGCCTGTATCTCTTTAAAGATTTGATCTTTATTCGCTTTTGAAACTTTCTTCCAACTATCAATGTTTATACTCACTCGGGAACGTACCATCTTCCCCAAGAATGATTTAAACTCTTCAGCCCACTCACCGATGACAGCATCGGTATCAGCAAATTCAATTATTTTTCGCCCCTCGCTGTCTCTTTGACCGCCACCGCCGCCATGAGGATCTTGATTATGACCAGGCTCATCTCCGTCATCGTCGCTCATAGTGTGTACCTGCAATTCATAAGCATGCATAATGATTAATAATAATTCAATATTAAATATAACTTACAATTCAGTATTAAATTACTTAACTCAAAACAACTTACAATTCCTCACTTAGCTTTTTCCGTTAACACTTCAATGCCATCATTATGGTGTGCGATAAAGGGAAGATCATCCTCATTGTGATCATATCTTATGTTTGTTTCACGCATCCCGATGGATAATGAGGGCATTTCCTCAACATAATCATCTTCCTCATCCTCAAAATTACATGTAATCTTTTTCTTGCCGGGTAAACAAATGGACCATCGTTCATTTGAAGGATCTTTTACATAAAACACTTGTTCGGCCTGTGATGCAAGTATGAACGGATCACCACGATGTCCTGATCGGTTAAAATCTACTAATGTGACTCCAGTGTCATCACATTGCACCCCTCGACGAATATCAACCCATTGACACTTGAAAATGGCAAAAGATCGAGCTGTGTAATTTAACTCCCAAATGTCTTCTATTTTTCCATAGTAAGACAACCTTGCATTTAATGGATTTTGATCATTTGCACTAGCATACTCAGTCGAAGATGCTATCACAGACACACCACTATTATGTAATACTGACTTCTCATCTTGTCTGGTAGTATAAAAAGTGTAGCCATTGATATCATATGCTTCAAAAGAATCAATTGGTCGTTTAGGACCATAGGCCAACCACTTAATATCATCATTAACATCATAGTACACATTATCAGTGTCATTGAAAATTAAATCCCTAAACCAAGATGCAAAGGTTCGGTTGTGTTCTTTAGTCAACCAGATTTCACTTTTCAAAGGAAACTGGGATCTCAAGACATTCATATGTTGTTGCACATAAGGATGAACTACTTCAAGATGATGCAATACGAGAAGATGAGCCTTTCCCAACAAATCATTATCCACATTCTTTACTTGTTTCTTCCCAAGAGTGCCCTTTCCTTCAAGTCTGTCATCATGTCTAGACTTTGGTACTCCCAAAGATTCCACATTAGTTAAATATGGCGTACAAAATTCAATGACTTCTTCATCAATTAAACCTCTGATGATGCTAACTTCCGGTCGACAACGGTTTTTTACTTTTGATTTTAAATACCCCATGTGTCTCTCCATTCCGTACATGTACCTCAAAAACACCGGTCCACACATCTTTACCTCTCTGACTAAGTGCACAACAAGATGCACCATAATGTCAAACAATGATGGCGGAAAGTACATCTCGAGTTGACATAATGTAACAACTACTTTTGATTGCAAAGCATGAAGTTTCTCTGGATGAATTACTTTCTGGCATATGGAATTGAAGAAGAAACTCAACCTCATAATGGCATGTTTAACATGATCAGGTAGAAGACCTCTTAAAGCAACAGGTAACAAGTGTTGCATCAAAACATGATAGTCGTGAGACTTCAACCCAATCAATTTCATATCTTGTAGTGATACAAGATTTCTAATATTAGACGCATACCCTGATGGCACCTTTATCCCATGTAAGCACTCACAGAAACTTTTTTTCTCGGCCTTTGATAATGTATAGCTGCCTGGTGGAAGAAAAAATCCATTCTCACGTGGTTGTGGTGCTAATTCTTTCCGAATATTCAGATGTTCAACCATGTCTTTGCGAATATTTATGCCATCTTTTGACTTTCCAGGAACATTCAAAATAGTCGAAATGATGTTGTCACACACATTCTTTTCAATATGCATGAGATCAAGACAGTGCCTTACTGATAGGTCTTTCCAATAAGGAAGCTCCCAAAATATAGATTTCTTTTTCCAAAGGCTCTGTTTGTTCCGCTTATAAGGTTTTCCAAAGATTGTGTTCAAATCTTTCACCCTATCATACACATCATGACCATTTAATGGTGGACGAGCTACTTCATGCTCAGTTTTTCCGTTAAATGCCTTCTTCAATGCACGATAACGATGAGTGCGCGGAAGAAACCTTCGATGATTCAAGTAAACATTTTTTTTGCAGTGAGGTAATCGCAAATCAACTGTATCATCTTCACATATAGGATATGCTTTTGCACCTTTGACTGTGTAACCTGAAAGATTGCCATATGCTGGAAAATCATTTATAGTGCAATACAACATAGCACGCATTTGAAAATAAGATTTGGTATGCATGTCATATGTTGTAACACCTTCAGTCTACAGCAGTTTGAGATCATCAATAAGCGGTGCAAGGTACACGTCAATATCATTACCCGGTTGTTTGGGTCCCGAGATAAGAAGAGACAACATGATGTATTTACGTTTCATGCACAACCATGAAGGCAAATTGTAAATAACCAATAGAACTGGCCAAGTGCTTTGTTGACTACTGAGTGTACCATATGGATTCATACCATCAGTGCATAAGCCAAGTCTCAAATTTCTGTCCTCTCTGCCGAATTCAGGATATTTCAAGTCAATTTGCCTCCACTGCGGAGAATCAGACACATGACGCAAGTACTCATCTTTTTTTCTACCCTGAGAATGCCAAACTAAATGTTTGGAATCTTTTGCATTCATGATTAACCTTTTAAATCTCGGAATAATGGGGAGATACCACAAAACTTTTGCAGGAATTTTGGAAAACTCAGTGTCACTAGCACTATTTGTACTCCTTTTTGCCTTATAGCGAGAAAGATAACATGTTGGACATTCATCAAGATTTTCGTACTCATTTCGGTACAACACACAATCATTGGGACAAGCGTGGAATTTCTCCCATTCAGCTCCCATAGGACACAGTAACTTTCTTGCCTTGTAAGTGGTATCAGGAAGTGTATTCCCTTCGGGCAACATCTCTTGAATTAATGTCAATAACTCTGTGAAACTGACATTACTCCATCCATGTTTCGCTTTCAAATGAAATAACTTCAAAACCGCAGACAGTTTGGTAAAAGTAGAGGTAGAATACAAAGGTATTCTGGCGGCATCAACCATACTTTCATATGATTTTGGTTTTTGTTCAAAATTATCATGTGCATCCTTCAAAAACTCATCCATGTGATCATCATTGAAATCATCATCCCCACTATTTTCATTGTTCCAATTTAAGTTGGTGGTAGTATCGGGGGCTTTGCGCTTTAAATTTCTAGCGGCGGCTCGCGGAACAACATTCTCACCATCCTGGAAAGTCTCTCCATGTAAAGTCCAAATGATGTAATTTTCTCTAAAGCCTCTCTCAAACAGATGTTGAAGTATAACATTGGTGTCACTCTCTCTTCTCAAGTTCCGGCACTTTAAACAAGGACATAAAATTCCTTTATGTCCATGTTGTTTCTGGTGTGTAACGACAGCTTTGATGAACCCATTCGCACCAATGAAAAACTCAGACGTGTCTCGACGTCCATACATCCAAGAACGATCCATTTTGAACGAAATTCTACATTTGTCCAATAATCATATATCATATAATGTGCATATAAGCAATATCATATACTCCCTCCGTTTCCAAAAGAAAGTCACGGTTTGACTTCACGATTATTAAGGAAATAAATTGACTTTACTGTAGAAAACACTGTTTAGACACTGTTTGACACTGTTTGGACACTGTTTGGCACTGTTTGGAACTGTTTGGCACTGTTTGGATGTAGATTTCTTTGCCAAATAAGGAAATAAGGGAAGTGTGACTTTGTTTTTGAAACATCTCAACAAGGAAATTGTGAGTTTCTTTTAGAAAAGGAGGGAGTATTTGCTAACTGCTATATTCGTGCTCAATAAACATTTTGTTTTGTGGAAGTGAACAAGTCTTATATTCAAGGAGATTATTTGAATTTATGAAATACTTGTTGAAGTGTAAAAATAATAAATACAGAATGCTATGCCATCTTTGTAAGATGTCGGGACTTGAGGTAGGCACTAAAATCTTAAAAAAGCTTTTATATTGATAAAGGTAGTGAGAAAAGGGGTACAATTTCAAAAAGGATGCCCGGAATGCAGGCAAAGTGCCGTTCTTTTATATTCAGAGTCGACGGGGAGCCGGAGAAGCCGACGGGGAGCCGGAGAAGTCGACGGCGTGCCGGAGTAGTTGCAGGACCTTTATGAACATATATTTAATGCAAAATAAACTACTCCGTATAACTTTAATCATATAACTACTGAACCGAAAGTAACATGGAAATAGAATCTTCAAAAGTATCTTCATTTTCGGTTTTGAAACATGGAGCTATCTAACCTCCGAAAATATCTTCAAGCAACATTAATTTTTTACTGAAACATGGAGCTATCTAACCTCCAAACATTTTTTTGAAATAGAATCTTCAAAAGTATCTTCATTTTCGGTTTTAACTCCAACAGCTAACTCTCAATTGCTATCAAAATTAATCCATTAAGTCTTTCATGTTCATTAAGAACCGTGTAGAACTTCAATTTGGTAAGTTTTGCTTAAAAAATAAACTGACCTGCGATGCGGGCCGGAGAAGTCGACGGGGAGCCGGAGAAGTCGACGGGGAGCCGGAGAAGTCGACGGCATGCCGGAGTAGTTGCAGGCGTGCAGCGGCGGCGAGCGAGCCTACGGCAGGCGTACGACGGCGGCGAGCGTGCTGGAGAAGTCGAATAAACCCGATGGCAGGCGTACGGCGGCAAAGAGGAAGTTGTCGGCGGCGATGCGGTCGAAAGGTTGCTTCGGTCGCGCGCGGTGCGGCTGCTATTTCCGAGCTGCGTGCGTACAGTGAAGACCTACCGGCTAGGTTTGGACGACGATCTGGCCAAATATTTGGGTTAAAATTGGAGGCGTTTCTTACAAGGAAAGCGCCGCACGCAGGGTATTTTTTTTTTTAAAAATACGAATTATTTAGAGGCGCTTCTAGCCTAAGCGCCGCACGCGTGGCCCAATTCAAAAAAACGGGGAAATTAGAGGCGCTTCTTCTCCTAAGCGCCGCACGCGTGGACGGAATTCAAAAAAAACCGGGAATCAAATCGGAGGCGCTTCTTAAAAGAAAGCGCCGCACGAGTTAAAAAAAAATATTTAAAAAAATAATTGGAGGCGTTTTTTTACAATAAGCGCCGCACGGTTTTAAAAAATTTTAAAATAATAATTTTAACGCCAAATAGAGGCGTTTGTGCTGAAAAGCGCCTCAAACGAAGCGCCTCTATTTGACGTTTTTCCACTAGTGTGAGACAGAAAGCAGTTTCTGATGATGCAGCGCAGGCGGGCAGCTCCCAACCTCTTACTTCCCCGAACTGCGATCATTCATTAGTATAGTCTTTTTTGCCTTTTCTTCTTGTATCTTTTATGAAATCTAGGCCTGGTTTTCTTGTATCTTCCGGTCATTAGTGCCGAAGAATAAACTGGATTACTTTTTCTTTGACCGTGTTGATGTATTACTTTTCTGTTTTCAAGTTCATAATCAGGATCCATGTTACCGAATATCGCTCGGCTCATTCATATTTATATCTTTGACACCATCTCCAAGCCGTTTTGATCCCTTTATTCGTCCGTTCGTAAGGACATGGTCAAATTCTATTAGCTGAGATAATGGCTCCCTCCAAACTGTTAACACATTCGTCATTCGGTCATCCAGAATGATTTCATGTGTTAAAAGCTGAGATGAGGCTTGTTGACATCAAACTCCAAGCCGTTTTGATCCCTTTATCTGACCGTTCGTTAGGGCAGAGTCAAAGTCTATTAGCTGAGATGATGGCTCCTTCCAAACTGTTAACACGTTCGTCATTCGGTCATCCTGAATGATTTCATGTGTTAAAAGCTGAGGTTGAGACTTTTTCTCTTCCAAACCCAAAATTCTGATTCATTCCGAACAGTTTCCTTTTACTCGAATCATCCATATTAGGGGTCTGAGGTGACCACTTTCAAACTGTAAGCAAGATCACCGGATCGGGTCATTTCTTACTTTAGCTAAAATGGCGACTCACTTCCAAATCAAGTTAATGACTCAGGCGAGATTTAAAACCATAGTTCCGATACCCCGTACAAACAATCCGTGTTACCGAACGTCGCTCGGCTCGTCCATACTTATTGTTTTGGCACCACATCCAAGCCATTTTGATCCCTTTATTCGTTCGTAATTATAGGGTCAAATATTGTTAGCTGAGATGATGGCTCCCTCCAAACTGTTAACATGTTCCTCATTCGGTCATCCGGAATGATTCTGCGTGTTAAAGGCTGAGGTGAGACTTCCCTGGAAGTTATGTCTCCCTCTCTATACACATACTTATTTTTTTTAGAGGTGGCAACAGCCGTTTTTATTGATAAAACTTTCTCAAATGCTCCACATTCCATGTTCCTGCCGGTCGGTCTTCGGTACATTGTAGGTCAAACGTTCTTGAGGCATATTTTTTGGAGACTTGATAAGGGCCTTCCCAATTTTGGATCATTTTTCCGCCTTTGAGAGGCTTGCTCTTTTCTCGTTTTCTTAGGACCAAGTCTCCTACCTCGATTGTCCGAATTTTGACTTGTTTATCAAAGTATCTCCTTGCAGCCCTATGATATTCCTCCATCCGTTTTGCTGCTAGATCTCTTCTCTCTTCTATGAAGTGCAATTCGGCCCGTAGGTTGTCCTCATTCCGCTCTGGATTATAATGCACCGTTCGGTGTGTGGGAACTAGGATCTCTGTTGGTACCTTGGCCCGGAAGCCATAAGCGAGGGCAAACGAAGATTCTCCTATGGCCGTTCGGGGTGTGGTCCTATATGTCCATAGGATGTAATTCAATTGGCCCGACCATGATGAGGAGTATTCTTCCAGTTTTTTCTTCATACCGTCCATGATGGTACGGTTCATATTCTCTACTTGGCCATTTTCCTGGGGGTATGCCATAGATGCTCTGGAATGCTTGATCCCCCATTTAATTAGATAGTTCTCAAAACTCCTGCTCACAAACTGCCTTCCATTATCTGTTATGATCTGTTCAGGGAGGCCGAAACGGCAAATAATGTTTTGCCAGACAAATTTTTGGCACTTGACATCTG